CCCCCCCCCCCCCCCTACCATCACCACGCCCGTCGTCCCTGGGCCAATAATAATAAAGGCTTCCCCGCTCACAAACACCTCTATCTTGTATTTCCCGTACATACCCCTTGTTTTTGTTGCACATGAGCTTCCGCTTGTTTCCGAAACAACAGGTCATATCAAAGCACACAACGGTGGTTGGTTTACTCCTCACATACCAGCCACCCATCTTCTTCGCACGAATCGTGTTTCTCGGGGAATCCCCACAGATCATAGACATCAAGCCGGTAGTCCCGCACGACGTCCCGCGAAACATGCGGGTTCCCGAGTGGGTGGAGGACGACCCGTGTCTCCGGAGGGTCGTCTTCACGGAGGAAGCGTGCAAGGGGCTGTCCACGTGCGTCGGGGAGGAGGCGCGAAAGAGCAAGAGCAAGTTCTACGGAGATATAGAGTCTTTCAAGGCCGCCGTCAGCGAGGTACGCATGTTTTTCTCTTTCTTGCGATTGTGTGTTGTAGGATGTATCCCTGAAAGCGTGTGAGAAAAGGTTAAGACTTTCCACAGTTCTTCCTTTTGCGATGTGTTGCCTCAGATTTGTCCCTGAAAGAGTGCGAAAAAGGCCAAGACTTTCCACATTTTTTTGTCATGTGTAGCCTCAGATTTGCCCCTGCAAGAGAGTAAGAATATCGGCAGGCTTTCTACAGTTTTTTTGTTTGCGATTTGTAGGTTAAGATGTATGTATATCCCTGAAAGAGATGCGAGAAAAACCGCAGGATTCCACAGTTTTTGTGTTTGCGATTTGTACAAGATTTATTTCCCTGAAAGAGATGAGAGAAAACGCGAGGGTTTTTCGACTGTAAAACTCGCAACTTGAGGGGGAGAGGGGGACCAAAGACAGATGAAGCAAACGACTTCGTATTTTCGAAACGATGCACATACAACTTTATGATATCCCAAGAAGTGCATACCTGCAGATAAGGATGACTCATTCCTTGATGAATGCAACGATGATCGTTTTTTCCTGTGTGATTGTTACTTGCGCGAGTTTTTCTCACGCGAAACCGAGAACGACCACCCACTTGCCCTCCCTCCCTCCCTCCGTACCGTTTGTGATTCCTCGAATGAATGTGGATGCAAATGTCAGGTGCTCGTGCAGGACGTACGCAGCGTGCACCAGGGCCGCGGCCTTGCGAGCGACGAGCTGTACGAGTGCTGCTTCGACGGGGTCATCATGTTTTTCGTCACTACCGAACACGAAATGCGCGTTGTGTCGGCGGGATGAGACCTAGGGTTTTAGGGTTGTAGGACTTGTTTGAGGTGTATCATCGGTGGTTCAACGCGACCTTGTCTCGTCCTTGGATGGTCGCGCGGCGGTGCTTGCCACATCAGCGGCCGGGCGTTGTTGCTGTGGACGGCACGGGGTGTGCGCGTCGTGTGTGAGGGTGGTACCGTAAATGACACAAGATAACACACCCCCTGGACCTATTTTCAAATCTCGATTTCTCAAGAACAGAAAGAGTCACGACGCCGAAAATGGCGGCGTTGGAACCGTCTCGTCGAGAGCTTTCCAAAAATGTATCATTTCGTTTATGCATCCTCCTCGTCGTGGAGTAATCGAGCTTTGACACTTGGTTCAGGGGGGTGTGTTATCTTGTGTCATATACGGTAGTCTTGTTGGAAGGAACGCTTTGCGTTGAATGAGCGTGTAATAATATGATTTTCGACTTGTTTTGCGTTGTAGCAATGTCCCACACGGACGACGTCCCTTCTCTTATGTTGCTCTTTGTTCTGATGCCTGTTTTCTTCTTCTTCGGACCTTCGTCCCAAGATGCTGGGCTGGTGACGGCTTCGGCGGGCTATCTACCACAGGTGTTCAACAGAAGCATTACTGTATTGCAACAGTATACCCACTCTCCTCAAGAGTGAGTGTCGAATGTTCGAAAGCGAAGGCACCTGTCACCACTGTTTCACAATGTCTCTGCTGTGTCTTCAGGTCTGCCTGACCTGCCCAGACTCAGGCTGCTTGTAGGGCAGGGGCAGGGGCGCGCGCGGAGGAGGGTTCGCTCAGACATTACCACAAGTAGTGAGTAACCGTTGACGAATCCTTCTGTCGTGGACAACCGTTGCCACCATCGGCAGCGACACCACCACCGGTATTTCGGGTTCCGTATTTGACGCCGAAACTCTTGGCTTAGTTAAGCTCATTCCATCGACGATCTGGCAGAATTCCGTCGGTAGGTTGGTTTATCCCCCTTCAGAGGGCAGACCGGTTTTCTCCGTTGTTGGTATTTTGGGGCAAGCAGAAAGTTGCAGAAGGAGAGACTGTGGGTGCCAGGACGAGAGTGGTCTGCCCACTCAAGCCAGCAAGGGATTTGCTTGTGGACGATCCGTGTATCCATCAGTGGTCTCCCGATTGCCCCATGGTTCTCGGAGCGTTTCTACGGATTGGTTTTTCCTGGGCTTCCTATGTGTCCGCATGGATCCTTCCCCTTTCACAAAACATAAGTATAGACTATACATGCAAACCTGTTGTCCGTAGGGCGGTATTACCTCTGTTGTGAAGGGGGTGTACTCATAGTCGTGCATGCCGTAGTCGTTAGACCACCTCGCATCCCTACAAAGCCGGGACGGAGCACGCCAGGTTCTCACCGGACCAGGCTCTCACATCACCAAGCGCGAAGCGCCGTGAGATATTCGGCGAGTCGCATGAAGGGTGCGCTGCATCCTGCTAAGGGTGTTCGGCATCTTGTGCTTACTTCCTTGCGTACGGATGACAGCTGCGTATGAATTAATTTATTTTCTGGTGCTTTCACTTCCAGAGACAGTTGTAAGCACTGTGTAACTGCCTCGAGGGCGTTTGACGAATTTAACACAACGTGGTGCGATCATCCCACCAGCGCGAAGTGAGGGTTCTGCACCCCGCACAACATGATCCACTCGACCACCATTATGGTACCGCCAAAAAAA